AATACAGCCTCCAGATCTGTAGGATGGCTGTGTGAGGTGAGACTGAAGGGATCTGGGTTCATTTCTGYCCCCCTGGGCCCCTGAGCAGCCCTGCCCCCGGCCATTCCCCGCCGATGGGCCGGGGGAGGGCTCAGGGGCTGTTGGTGCTCAGCCCTGCTGCCGGGGCGGGGCGGTGAATCCCCCGGGATGGGGCTGTTGCCGTTGGAGGGCTCAGGGGCTGTTGGTGCTCAGCCCTGCTGCCGGGGCGGGGCGGTGAATCCCCCGGGATGGGGCTGTTGCCGTTGGATGCCCGCGGCGGGTGCGTGTCGGGGCAGCGCCGCCCGTGCCGATCCCCGGGCTGGCTGCGCCGTGTGCCTGCCCGCGGAGCCAGGGCCAGCCCGCCACGGGAAGGGGCTGGAGCGGCTCCAGAGAAAACCGCGGAGCTGCCCCGACGGCTGGAACTGCTCTGGAGCCAGGCTGCGARAGCTGGGGGTGCTCACCTGGAGAAGGCTCCAGGGAGAGCTGAGAGTCCCTTACAGGGCCTGAARGGGCTCCAGGAGAACTCCCTGTTCCCAGCACAGATCCCGTGCAGGATCCGGTCCCTGGCCGCTGGAATTAGCCCACATTATTCACTACAGCGGTTTCCTGCTCCCTCCATCTCTCCCCCGGGGCTGTGTCTCCCCATTCCCCTCCTCTCTCCGCCTTTCATGTAAATCCCTCACAGCGGGACCTCCCGTGACCCAGGGGTAGAAACAAAGCCCGAAGGAGGGCTGGAGCCCACTCGAAAGGATGCTCCGCTGGATCCAGACAGGCTGTTTATTCCTCCTGCATCCGTGGGCAGGGCTTTTCCCTTCCCCCCGCCCCCGGCTCTGGTGTGATTTGTGGAATGTCTGGCACGGCAGGACCCTTTTCTTGCTGCACCCTCAGGGATGAGGGTGTCATCCATGGAGCTGCTGCCAGCCCCGAATTTYCCTCTGCCCATGGATCTCCTATCWGGCATTTCCCTCCCTGGGGTTGTTGTGGGTCCGAATCAGCGGCTGAGAGGAGGGGCTGTTGAAAGGATCAGACCCATCAGGGCCAAGTTTGGGAGTGGTTGTGYTTGAGTATCCCATGGGAGGTGGGAATGGCAGGATCCCAGCACAGCTGGTGGGATTGCACTGGAGGAAGCGAGGAGCTCTGGAATGGAGGTGTCCTGATATTGGAGGGTCCCAGCATTTCACAAAGGGGGTGAGGAGGATTTGGGGACGCTGAGTGTGGGGGAGATGGGAATAAGGTGAGGGAGAAATTAAGTGGGAATCAGGGATCAGCGGTGCCTGGAGTCCAGAGAAGTGCCCCTGTATCCCCGTCTGGGGCTGGAGACTCCGATGGGGTCACAGGACAGAGCCCCCCTCTCCCGGTGCAAACCCTCAGTTCCAGGCGGGCCCAGGACAAAGGCGCCATCTCTCCACATCTGGATCTGGGGCAGTGTCCATCCCTCCGCCCCCGCCCCCACAGCTGGATCTGCAGCTCCGGGCGGAGCTCGGGCATGTCCACCCCCACCCCACATCTGGATCTGTGGCTCCCTGGGGAGCTGGGGACAATGTCCACCCCCAATCCACATCTGGATCTGCCGTTCCCTGGGGAGCTGGGCACAATGTCCACCCGCACCCCACACCGAGATCCACGGGCGGTCGCTGCCGTGCCCGGCGGGCAAAGGTGCACGGTGGGGAGCGGGCAGAGCCCCCCGCAGTCGCCGGGGCTCCCGGGGGTGAAGCCCCGGGACGAAGCTCACCTTGGAGATGGCCATGGTGAAGTAGACGAAGAGGGCGGTGGTGGAGGCGATCTGCAGGGCCACGATGGCCATGACGGCCACGCTG